AGGATGTTTACATATTCAGTTATCTTATTTTGTGTATGAATGATCACATTTAGTAAAGGTACATTCTTAGTATATTTATATGGACTGATCTGTTAATATAATGGATTTATTATATTTAAAGATAATATGTATATGTTTGTATCATATATTTCATGAATATATGGAATGCTTAATGTGTATATTTTCAGGGCTCGTTGCTATATGCTATATGCTACATGCTATTATGATGATATATGATGCTATGTGATGCTAATTGTTAGTACTATATGTGTGCTATGAAATGTTGATCTGATGGACTATATATATTGGTGTCTACTACAAATTAAACAAGAACCAGCAACCCTCAAGTTTTGTTTTGAATTTACCCATAGGGAAAACACAACTGGGTCACACTATTAAGCATTATTTACGGACTTTATTACATTACCAGGTTGAAATGATGCATTGGTGTAAAAATGGTTTAAAAATCCATCACCACTTGAGTCTATGAGTCTAGTAGTAGACAGATTACCAATTATCAATGTTAAAATATTAATGTCTATTGTGCTATTGTTTATTTTCTTTTTAACATACAATAGTAATCATTTGAAAGTAATATGATATAAACTTTGACTTATTTTCTTCAATAAAAGTTAAGTTTTTTCTTGATAGTAATATATACTAGAACAATATCATCAGATGAATGTTGTTCGTATATCAACTTTACACTGAAAATACATTTTAAAGTACGTTTATAGAAAAACTCAAAACATATATTTCAGGATTTCTTAAAGCCGAAAATATCAGTTTAAACTGAACGTCAAATTTTACATAAAAACCACACGTTCAAATACCGTTTCTTTCCATTGTTCAAGTATTTGCCGGCGTAAAACAATAAATTTTATATCAACCTGACGGAAAAGTATTTTCCGTCGGATACTGTTTAATTTAAGATAATCTATTGTCCTTCTGTTCGGGAAATCGACATTGATATTATGGAAACAGAACGAGTATATAATAGGATGTATGTTATGAATAAGCAAAAGATATCAACGCCTGAATCCCAGGCTAGTTTCACCAGACCATGGTTAAAATCCTTATTTTGAGTACATATCAAAGTGAGAATACTTTTATTTTTAGATTAGATAATTTGTAGTGCTAAAGGCCAGCAGTTCAAACGAATAAGTAACAATTCGCCACACTAACGATTCGCCACATAACGATTTGCCACAGAGTAATAACGATTCGCCACAGTTAAATAACGATTCGCCACAGTATGATTATAACAATGATTTTTTTAGTAATCAACAAACCCATATTCAAACTTGACCTAGAAATCATCAAAACAACCTTTCTGACAAATTTCCAAAATATTTGGATCATAACTGGAGCCACTACAGTGTCATAAAGATTTTTCTATTTTTAGCTTCTGTGACCTAATTTTTGACCGGAGATGACCCATCTTCATCATCAAAACAACCCTCCAAACAAATTTCCGGAATATTTGGATCAAAACTGCAGCCACTAGAGTGTTAACAAGCTTTACTATTTTTAGCTCCTGTGACCTAGTTTTTGACCGGAGATGACCCATCTTCGAACTTGACCTAGAAATCATCAAAACAACCTTCCTGACAAATTTCCAGAATATTTGGATCAAAACTGCAGCCACTAGAGTGTTAACAAGCTTTTTCTATTTTTAGCTCCTGTGACCTAGTTTTTGACCGGAGATGACCCATCTTCGAACTGGACCTAGAAATTATTTAAACAACCTTCCTGAAAAATTTTCAGGATATTTGTATCAAAACTGCAGCCACTAGTGTTAACAAGCTTTTTCTATTTTCAGCTCCTGTGACCTAGTTTTTGACCGGATATGACGCATCTTAGAACTTGACCTAGAAATCATCAAAACAACCTTCCTGACAAATTTCCAGAATATTTGGATCAAAACTGCAGCCACTAGTGTGTTAACAAGCTTTTCCTATTTTTAGCTCCTGTGACCTAGTTTTTGACCGGAGATGACCCATCTTCGAACTTGACCTAGAAATCATCAAAACAACCTTCCTTACCAATTTCCAGATATTTTGATGAAAACTGCAGCGACTAGAGTGTTAACAAGTTTTTTCTATTTTAAGCTCCTTTGACCTAGTTTTTCATCGGAGTTCACCTATGATCGAACTCATCCGAGATATTATTAAAACAGATATTCTGACAAAGTTTCATGATGATTGAGGACTGAATGAGACAGCTTGAGTGTTTACGAAATGTGGACTGACGACGGACGACAGTCGACGGTCAACGGACAATCATCGATCCTAAAAGCTCACCCTGAGCATGCTCAGGTGAGCTTAAAATTAAGAAGTGCAGAGTAATGAGTCTTGTGCACTGCACTTTGGGTTATTGAAAGAAGCATGCAAACCAAGTTTGGAGTCAATCCAACTTATATTGACTAAGTTATGCTCTGAACAAGCCTTAGGGGACGCCAACGCCGTAGACAAAAGTAACCCTTTTCAAGGCAACACAAAAAATTGGGGTTGTGAGAATGTTACACTGATAACAACAGATCATTATGTTGATAAAAAACAAATAATTCATCATTTAACTGCCTTTTATTCTTATTGACTCACACAACTATATTTTATAATTTAAGCAAAAATTGTACAAATGAACATAAAATAACATGATTCTACCATAACTGTAAATTAAAAAAATATGACAAGAAGGAAACAAATGAAAAAAGAACATCTGAAAATGATTTTGGAAAACAATTCAAGATTCTAGGAGACAAGAAGCTCCAACTTAATTCATGATTTGTTTTTTTAATCACACTTATACATTCATGATAAATAGGTTAAACGTATTAAATTATGTATTTTTTTATAAGATAAATTTTTTTGAAGCTGATATTAATGAATATATTGCTGCCTTTTATACTCATAAGAGAAATATACATCTATCACAGACAAAACTTATGCTGTTATCAAATCATATAAATGCAGTAGTTACCAAATAAACAAGAGCTGTCGGTAGGACAGCAACGCTAGACTATTCTTAGTGCTTGATAGTAAAAAAAGCCTTGATTAAAAGGTAAAATTTTCTCAGTAAAGAAAAAGGCAAATTTTTTCTTTAAATCCATATTACAGTTAGAGGCATTGGAGGGAGTCCTATTATGCTGTCAAAGAAGAGTATGAACTAGAAATGTACACTTTAAATAAAAAAAAAATGAAATTTAATAAAAACACGTACAAATACTGGATTATGAAGTTTTTTATGAACTTTGAAAATATTTGAGGTACATTGTATTACAACAAGAGCTGTCGGTAAGACAGCAATGCTCGACTATTCTTAGTGCTTGATAGTAAAAAAAATGCTTGATAGAGTTACCTCCTCCTGTTTACAGGTTGGGGTCATGATGGTGAACAAGTGTGCAAAGTTTCAAAGCCATATGTCTATGGACTTTGAAAATATTTGAACTATTACAAAAACTTTAACGTAAATTCTAAGTCGAAAAAGGGGCATAATTCTGTCAGAATGCTTAATAGAGTTACCTCCTCCTGTTTACAGGTTGGGGTCATGATGGCGAACAAGTGTGCAAAGTTTCAAAGCCATATGTCAATGGACTTTGAAAATATTTGAACTATTACAAAAACTTTAACGTAAATTCTAAGTCGAAAAAGGGGCATAATTCTGTCAAAATGCTTGATAGAGTTACCTCCTCCTGTTTACAGGTTGGGGTCATGATGGTGAACAAGTGTGTAAAGTTTCAAAGCCATATGTCAATGGACTTTGAAAATATTTGAACTATTACAAAACTTTAACGTAAATTCTAAGTCGAACAAGAGCTGTCGGTAGGACAGCAACGCTCGACTATTCTTAGTGCTTGATAGTAAAAAAAAGGCTTGATACAGTTACCTCCTCCTGTTTACAGGTTGGGGTCATGATGGTGAACAAGTGTGCAAAGTTTCAAAACCATATGTCAATGAACTTTGAAAATATTTGAACTATTATAAAAACTTTAACGTAAATTCTAAGTTTAAAAGGGGCATAATTCTGTCAAAATGCTTGATAGAGTTACCTCCTCCTGTCTACAGGTTGGGGTCATGATGGTGAACAAGTGTGCAAAGTTTTAAAGCCATATGTCTATGGACTTTGAAAAAATTTGAACTATTACAAAAACTTTAACGTAAATTCTAAGTCGAAAAAGGGGCATAATTCTGTCAAAATACTTGATAGAGTTACCTCCTCCTGTCTACAGGTTGGGGTCATGATGGTGAACAAGTGTGCAAAGTTTCAAAGCCATATGTCTATGGACTTTGAAAATATTTGAACTATTACAAAAACTTTAACGTAAATTCTAAGTTGAAAAAGGGGCATAATTCTGTCAAAATGCTTGATAGAGTTACCTCCTCCTGTCTACAGGTTGGGGTCATGATGGTGAACAAGTGTGCAAAGTTTCAAAGCCATATGTCAATGGACTTTGAAAATATTTGAACTATTACAAAAACTTTAACATAAGTGGTTACGCCGACGCCGACGCTCGGGTGACTGCAATAGCTCTACTTATTCTTATCGAATAGTCGAGCTAAAAAGGGGCATAATTCTGTCAAAATGCTTGATAGAGTTACCTCCTCCTGTCTACAGGTTGGGGTCATGATGGTGAACAAGTGTGCAAAGTTTCAAAGCCATATGTCTATGTACTTTGAAAATATTTGAACTATTACAAAAACTTTAACATAAGTGGTTACGCCGACGCCGACGCTCGGGTGACTGCAATAGCTCTACTTATTCTTATCGAATAGTCGAGCTAAAAACTGTAACGTAAATTCTAAGTCGAAAAAGGGGCATGATTCTGTCAAAATACTTGATAGAGTTACCTCCTCCTGTCTACAGGTTGGGATCATGATTGTGAACAAGTGTGCAAAGTTTCAAAGCCATATGTCAATGGACTTTGAAAATATTTGAGGTATTACAAAAACTTTAACGTAAATTCTAAGTCGAAAAAGGGGCATAATTCTTTCAAAATGCTTGATAGAGTTACCTACTCCTGTCTACAGGTTGGGGTCATGATGGTGAACAAGTGTGCAAAGTTTCAAAGCCATATGTCAATGGACTTTGAAAATATTTGAGGTATTGCAAAAACTTTAACATAAGTGGTTACGTCGACACCGACGCAGACGCTGACGCTCAGGTGACTTCAATAGCTCTACTTATTCTTATGGAATAGTCGAGCTAAAAATACATGTGTATACGAAAAATCTAAGAAACACTAAAAAAAAATTACAAAAAAAACCTCACATTTTTTTGAAGGGGCAATAACACCACCGTCTCTATGGTATAAACCTTGCTAATAAAAAACAAACAAACAAGGTGTCTACAGGATAATCATAGATCCCCCCCACATCGAGGTATGTTTAAATACTTATAAACATATATTTCATATAGGTTAAGTGTTATATTGATAAGTAATATAAATAAAAGAAGTATTTTAACTAACAATTACCACAAATATATGACTGCTATGAATGTTTTACATTTTACATCAGTTGTCACTGTGACCTTGACCAAATTTTAACAAACTTATGCTTATGTTTTCTCAAATTATAACTTGGACAAGGATTTTACATAAAATGTCACTGTAACCGACTTAATACTTTGACAACTGGCACGGGCAATGTTCCTACCAAGTTGCATAAACCATGTTGGGCTTGTTTTAGGGATTCTGCTTTTCTCAGTTTTATTCTTCCTCACTTTTTTTATCAGACTAGGAGTTTGTCACTGTGACCTCAACCTTTAATTTAATTAATAGGGGTCATTACCCGGCCAACAGTAATATTCCTACAAAATCACATACTGCATCCCCATCTAGCCTCGTTTTACTTTTTGAGAGTCTAAAATTCATATCAAACACTTATTGTAATGTCAAGATGTCAAAAAATTGTGCTGTGACATAATGAGGTCATTAAACATGGATGAGAACAATACTGATTCTTTTTTACCTATATATATTTAGCTATTGCCTCACTAAATATAATTTAGACAGCTGTGTACTTAAATCAAATGTCAAATATAATTCAACAGAGTACAATAACCTCATAAGTATTTTCATATTTTAGACAGTTTTTGTATTTAACTGTTATAATAGTCAATCTTTTGTAATATTTTTGGTAACTAATTAACTAATCAACTAGACAACGAAATGAGTATAATGTCACTTTAATTGACTAGTTTCTGAGAACAAAAAAAGTGTCACAACATAAATACATAATGTCTTACTCTACCACATAAAACGCTGAACTTCATCTTCATGTTTCCATCTAAATGACATATTTACAAATAGATACACTGTCAACACATTGACTACTATGGCCAGTAAAATTTCATGAAAAAGTCCAAGGGCTGTACCGTGACGCATGTTCATTCTAAATATAAGGTACGGCAGTATAAAATAACGATATTCCAGTAGCTTCTGCGGAACTAATGCCGCTACAAGGCAAATACTGTATACAAGTTTCCAGTATATATCTCTAAACTTTATCTCATCTAAAACACTCCAGAAAAAATAGAAGTATGCAGGAATTAAGATATACTTAACATATTCATGCCTACGGTATATTTTCCGCCATATGTAAAATGTAAAGTGTCTGTTATCAGCCAAGAGATATTTATGCTCGTATGTAAAATAATGTATCATGAGGAAAGCTACACCAAAGAATGACAACATAAATAATGGATGTCGTATACAGAATTTGAGAAATTCCCAAACTTTGTACGGTGAACACAAATGGAATAGAGAAAAAAAGTTTGTCATTGTTAAGAAATAAAACAACTGTGGAAAATGCAATACTGCCACATGTTGCGTTCTATCACCAACAACAATACCTTTGTTAAGAATGATAAAAATTCCAAACCCTATCCCAACTAATACATATGCCCATACATTTTTTACGATATCAGAAAACAGTGAGAACAATAAATTTCTTTTTGCCTTTGCACAATCACATACTACTGTAAAAGTCACCTTTAAAAGTTCTAAGTCATTCAAATTTTCCAACTTTATGTCTTTTTTCTCACAAATTTGTTTCAACCATAAACTTAATTCCTTTCGCACAGCTAATCCCGCCATAAAAATTACCCATATAATGTTGGTTTGTCGAAACAGTATAGATGCTGTGCCAAAAATGGCTGCCATTTTATGGTTGCCATGGAGACTGAAGAGGTACATCATGAGAACAAAAAATGTCGATCCTTGGTCAGTGTAGTACAGAAAGGTGAAAAAATACAGTACTGGGAGTAAGCTGAGCGCTAATGTTGTCAAAGCAATTTTGATGCCATCTGGATCCTAGAAATATACAAAAAGGTTGTTTAATTCTCAAAGAACTGCTAATTTGCTGACAAATTTCATTCAAAGAATTAAAGAAAATCATTATCATGGTAATGAAACTAAAATCGAAAACAATAATTAAATAAATATCTAAAAATTAAACATAATAATTCAAATATGTTCAACTTGTAAATTACTCCCTCACTTGAATCACAATTAAGGATACTGGGTCACTAGAAATGTACACTTTAAATAAAAAAATGAATTTAATAAAAACACGTACAAATACTGGATTATGAAGTTTTTTCAGAATTGTGTAAATCAGATAGAAGTTCCCAAAGCTGAAAAAAATATTGGTGGCTCTCAACCAGAACGTTGTACACACTTCAAGAACTGGTATATTCAAGATGGCAGACACTGGCTTCAGTACACCCACTGACATCATGTATAATCCTGGTAGAGTGGTGATCATTGGGTCCCACTGAAGTAAAATAAAAACAGAATTTCAATCAGCTTATAACCTAAATAAATAAATAAATAAGAGACATCTGCAGGTTTATTTTACTTCTCTTTCCAAACTGTATTTTGCCAACTTTTGAATTTGGAACAATCCATTCAAAACATCAAAATACAAAATTTGAGCCGAGTCAATAATTTGCAGCCTACACAGATTGGTCTTAAAAAATCAGATATTAATGGATAACTAGTTCACAATCCATCCATTAAAAAATTACAACCATCTAGTCACAAGCATGACTTTTGACATACAAAGTGACAATCTTGTGCTGATACATTGTCTTAACAAGCATTATTTTTTAAATTCATCCATAAATACAAGGATTGTTGATTGAACAGGAACTTCAATGAAATATTTCCTTTCAAGAAAAGTAAGACCCTGACCTTTGAGCTACATGCCTTGGTCGTAAGTGAGACATATCAGTTCAAAATATTAGACATTTATGAAGACTATGCATTCACAATAATAATATGAGTCTGGACATACAAGTGTTCAGAACAGACTGCCATTACTTTTGATTATGGATTTGTTCTTTGATCTTTTAGGGAAATTACTATTTTAACTGACTGTTTATATTGCTGCCCTCTCTTTTAACCCAAATATATCGGTCATACGACTAACCAAAATACCGAAACACTACTGGAATACCCGATAATAGATATAAGAAAGCCGAAATACCCATTAATGATAGATTTAGGAAGCTGTAATACTCCCGATATGTTTATGGAGCAGGAATACCGCAGGTTTTAACCAAAATTACATCTTAGAGTAATTATTGCTTTGAAATCGTGTTTTAAAACAGACTGTTGACTGGAAAACACACTTAATCACTCCAAGTTCTTGTACAACTTGTACATGACCTAGAAAAAACGACAGTTCAAATGACTGAGAAGTGGTTTATTACAAACCCGCTATAGACTTGTAGAGACTTACAGACAACTTGGAAAGACAAAACTGTTATAATTTGCAATTTAAAATTGCAGATACATGTACAAACGACAATCTGCAAGTAACTTGTCTTTGTTAATAACTTAAAAAAAACACAGCAAATTATTCGTACCATACAGTACACACTGACAGTTAGGCTAATACGTGAATTATGACACAACTTATTTAATTGAGTGATTATTGAGTTATTACACCATAACTATCAGGTATTTCGGCTTTCTTATATCTGTTATCGTGTATTCCGGGTGTATTCCGGTAGTATTTCGGTTAGTCATGTGACCCAATTATATGAATGTGCCCCTGAACCATTGGATGGTTATCTGGATGGACAGACATTATTTTATTCAAAAACTACATAATATTATACATCTACATCATACTGCTACAAAATTGTTGAATGATTACACTAAGCAGGTGGGTTGTCTGGGAATAGCTATTAAAACAAGAAAATTTAATGATAATATACAAAATAGTAGATATAAACAATTTAAAAGAAACTTCAAGAATAAGATAAAAACAGTTTGACTTAGAACTGGTAGAAGAGATGCAGCTGCTCAGAAAAGATATCTAACTTTGGCTAACTTGCAAGGGCACCTGTAACTGACACTTTGTGCCAAAGTCAGATTATTTTCATCCTGGGTCAGAATCTAGCTTTTAGAGGTGACATATTGCCAAGACACAAAATAGCACAATATCTTGTGGCGCAGTACAATTAGTTGGACTGACTTGCTGATAGACTGTTCCTTAGTCCAACTTGTACTACATATTGAGATAATTAAATATTGCGCAATTTTGTGCATGGGCAATACATGTATCAGCAAGATCCTGACCCAAAACAAAAATATCTCAGAATCTAGCTTTGGTACGTCAAAATATTTTGACTAACCATTCCACAGATACTTCTAGGGAAAATGAGTAGGAGTGATACATGTACTGTAGTGTGTCCATTAATATGATATCAGGTAGTTCTGTTGGGAGCCAATGGTGCTGGTCAACCCTCACAACATTGTATTGTATTTGAATATGAGTAATAGGAGAGTGACAGAGCTGATGTTATGTCTCTTCTCTAGTGTTTGCCAGTTTTGATATTTTATCATATTAGAAATATTACTGGTGAAATTGTTCTCCAGACTTGCTCAATTTTATGGGTTTTTTAAAAAATATTTCTGCCATTGATGCCAAACTGTGGAACAGTATTCTAACAGTTCTAACTGCCAATACTAAGTGGGTAGTCAGACTATTCTCTCCCTTACCAGTTCCTCCCCTGACGTTTCCTCCCTGACGGTTCTCTCCCTATTTTGGGGGAGAACCGTCTGCATATTTGCAAATAAGCAGACAGTTCCTCCCCATTCTTATTTTTATTATTCTACATTTTGTCATTCATGATTTTGTGTCATTTGTTATTATTTTGTCTTTGCACTCCTACTGAAGATTTTCATGGCGCGAGCCAGACTTCGTATTCATTCATAATAAATATTTTCTGAGAGCGTATTTCTGTATTTTTATAGCAACCCTCAAGCCCAGAACCTCTTAGCAGCACCTTTCATATATCGTTAGAGTGGACTGCGACATTAGGATAATCATAAGATATTATTATTATTATTTTATTTAATAAATAAATGTGAAATTTGTAAGCAAAAAATGATTAATAAATTTTAATTGCTAAATTTCATACTTTTGTATAATGAAAAAAGGAGTTCAATACACACATGTGTTAAGTTTGCTGTTAATGATAATTGGAGTGTTTATCTAATTTATTACTCAAGAATCAAGGTGCTGATTAGATTAAAACAGCTGTGAAAAGGTGTTGATGAATAAGTATTTACAAGCTAGACCTTAACATAATTACAGGTGTCCAATCACTGTCCAATAATCTGTATCTCTCACAATGAAGGTGTTCATAGGATAAAAATACCCAAAAAAAGGTGTTAAACACTTTTCAGCTGATAAACATAAAACATAAAATGCAGGTTATATCAAACACATTCTTTTAATAATCTTCATTAAGAAATATTATTAGATTAAGTCAAAACTAAAACTAGAAATGTGTCCATAGGACACGGATGCCCCCACACGCCACTGTTCTGTCAATCTTATGACTCTAGGTCAAATATTTTTTGGACAAAAAATCAACAAAGGGCCATAATTCTGTTAAATTTGGTCGCAGCAAAAATTCTTTCCTTTACTAACATCTACACATTAAGGTTGTAAATCCCTGGCAGTTTAAGCAAAATCTGCCATCTGGTTTAAGAGGAGTTACGTTCACAAAATTTCTACAAAGTATATAATGAAAAAATCAACAAAGGGCCATAATTCTGTTAAATTTGGTTGCAGCAAAAATTCCTTCCTTTACTGCCATCTACACATAAAGGTTGTTCATCCCTATAAGTTTAAGCAAAATCTGCCATCCGGTTTAAGAAGAGTTGCATTCACAAGTTTCTACATAGTATATAATGAAAAAATCATCAAAGGGCCATAATTCTGTAAAATTTGGTCACAGCAAAAATTCCTTCCTTTACTACCATCTACAACTTAAGGTTGTTCATCCCTGTAAGTTTAAGCAAAATCTGCCATCCGGTTTAAGAGGAGTTGCGTTCACAAAATTTCTACATAGTATATAGTGAAAAAATCAACAAAGGGCCATAATTCAGTAAAATTTGGTCGCAGCGAAAATTCCTTCCTTTACTACCATCTACACCTTAAGGTTGTTCATCCCTGTAAGTTTAAGCAAAATCTGCCATCCGGTTTAAGAGGAGTTGCGTTCACAAAATTTCTACATAGTATCTAGTGAAAAAATCAACAAAGGGCCATAA